AGCCGAAATGCAGATGCTCATATGTCTCCCGAGCGTTCGGCCCAAGAAGGGCGTCTACGAGCTCGACAACTTGCCGAACAAGACCCATTCGTTCAGAAGGCGATGGACATGTTCGACGCCGAAGTAACTGGCGTTCGCGACCAAGACGCGGGCTAATAATTTTCGCGTTGGCACGAATTTCGCATGTAAGGGAGGGTTCATCCTGACCTACACTTTGCCATGGTTAGGTGCCGTATTGCCATTTGTGGCGATGCCTTGCGAGTTTCCTCTACGTTAGCATTCGCTGATTGGGGGTCAGGCACTTGGTAACTCGTGTTTGTCGAACAAAGAAGGAGAGATGTCCGTGTTCAAAAATCTTGGCAACATTGCCGGCATGATGCAGCAAGCTCAACAAGTCGGGCAAGAGATGAAAGCGATGCAGGAAGAACTCCGCAACAAACGTGTGGAAGGAACTGCAGGCGCCGGCTTAGTAAAAGCGGTTTGCACCGGACATGGCGAGCTGGTCAGCATCACCATTGATCCCCAGTTGATCACCGATGGCGATAAAGACCTGATCGAAGAGTTGATCCCTCAAGCGGTCAACGATGCTCAAGCCAAAGGTAAGCAGCTTCATCAGGAAATGATGCAGTCGGTTACTAGCGGGTTGAACGTACCAGGGCTCGACCAGGCACTAAGCCAGTTTGGCCAGTAGATAATTCAGGGCAGGATTTGCCCACAGGAAATACAAAGCGGAAGGAGCGAAGTGAATGGCGCAGCTGACTGAATCTGTAGTTCGTTTGATCGACCAGTTATCCAAGCTGCCAGGCATCGGCCGTAAAAGTGCCGAGCGTGTTGCCTATCATATCCTCCGCGTTCCTACCGACGAAGCGATGGGACTTTCGGATGCAATTCGGGACGTCAAACAAAACGTTCGCTATTGCAGCCAGTGTTTCAATTTGTCGGAAGGGGAACTCTGCACGATCTGCCAAGACCCGCAACGCGATGCTTCGCTGCTGTGCGTTGTGGAACAGCCCCGCGATTTGATTGCCTTGGAACAGTCAGGCGTTTTCCCTGGCGTGTACCACGTTTTGCTCGGCCGGATTGCACCTCTGGAAGGTGTCGGCCCCGACCAGCTAACGATCGACGCGCTTGTATCGCGCGTTACTAAAGGTGAGATACGTGAGGTGGTCATGGCGACAAATCCAACCACGGAAGGAGACGGAACGGCACTGCACATTTCAAGCTTGCTGTCCGAGTTCCCCGTTAAGTTGACACGATTGGCTCGAGGCGTGACCGCCGGAAGCGTCCTCGAATTCGCCAACAAAGAAGTGCTTGCCGATGCCATGACNNNCCGGCCGCCAGGCACTTTAAAACCGGATCCGTCGGGTCCACCCAACACCGGCAAACCACTTCCCAACAGCTATCGGAATCATTCCCATGAGAATGTCCTTCGGTCTTGAACAGAAAATGGTCCAGAAGCAGGTTCTGGCTCCACGGATGATTCAATCCATGGAGATCCTGCAACTGCCAGTTCTGGCCCTTCAAGAGAAGATCGAGCAGGAGATGAACGAGAATCCGATGCTCGAAGTCCAAGAGCAGGATGGTAGCGATACCGAAGATTCTCCACGAGAAGAGCCAGACGCTCCTGCCGATTCAGAGCAAGAGTTCGTCGTTGAAGATGGCAAAGATAACGCCGACGACTTCGAACGCTTGTTGGAAATGGATCAGCAGTATCCCGACACCTTCGATGAACGGCCCCAGCGATCGTCGGGCCAAATGGAAGAAGACGCCGAGCGCCGTATGGATGCTTTGGCGAACGTCCAATCGCGCCCTCAAACTTTGCAAGACCACCTGGAACACCAGTTGGCTGAACTGTCGATCGAACCGATCGTTCGCGAATGGGCCGAGCGGATCATCTCGGCACTCGACTCCAATGGCTATCTCACCACAAGCCTCGAAGACTTATTGCCGGCCGACGCCGATGACGAATTGAAAGACATCGCCCAAGAAGCACTTCATGTCGTTCAATCGTTGGAACCTGCCGGCGTTGGAGCGCGGGATCTGCGGGAATGTCTGCTGTTACAAATCGATCCATCGCGTATGTTCTTTGACGAACTCCGTACGTTGATCATGAATCACCTGGAAGACCTTCGTGACAATCGACTTCCACAGATTCAGAAAGCGACCGGCTTTTCGATCGAACGCATTCAAGCGGCGTGGAGCGAGATGCGCCGCCTCGATCCTAAACCAGGTTCGATCTACAACGATGCTCATGTCGCCAATGTCATTCCTGACTTGATGCTGGATATCGACGAAGATGGGAAGTACATCGTTCAAGCCGAAGACCGAGACATTCCGCAGTTGCGAATCAGCAACTACTACCGCGAACGCCTTTCCAGCCCGACGGCTACTCGGGAAGAAAAGGAGTTCATCAAGCGTAAACTTAACGCAGCTCAGTGG